ACTTTCATGTGAATGTTTCAAGAACAAGGCTGACTCATGGATTATAGATTCAGGGGCATCAAACAATATGACCTTCAACAGATCCTTATTAACCAATATAACTAACTTACCTTATCCCCTGCTAGTCATACTTCCAAATGGCTATAAAGTAAAGGTGACAGAAATAGGTAGTGTAATTCTCAACTCTAAGATCACTCTAGATAAGGTGATGTATGTTCCCACTTTCAGATACAATCTAATCTCTGTTCACTCTTTAGCATCTCATCTAAGTTGCCTTGTTGCCTTTTTCAAACTTTGTTGTGTATTGCAGGCCCCTTCAATGAAGAGGCCTCTAGTAATTGGTAAAGTGAGGTATGGGCTGTACATCCTATGCCCAAGCTGCTTGAAGAAAAACAATGCAAGCCTTGCAGAAAATGACAACTCTAAACTTCCTGTCATTTCTACTTGTTGCACTTGTGACACACACTGTCCCTCTCATTCTATTGTAGATATACCAGTTCATAACAATAAGTGTGTCCCCTTTTCCAATTGTAAATAATTCATGCGCAAGTGCTAATAAACATGCTCCTTTTGAAGGTCTGTCTTCTGAATTGCCTAGCTTTTTCTCACTCTTGGTCTGAAAATAATGTGAATGTGCTGTGGCATAATAGACTTGGACATGTCCCCTTTGTGAAAATGAAAAAGGATTGCCTCTATACCTGCTAATTTCTCCTCCAAACAACCCTTCAGTTGCACCATTTGTCCAATCGCTAGACAAGAAAGACTACCCTTTCCTCAGAAAACCAGTACATCTAACAGAATCTTTAAGCTTTTGCATGTTGACTTGTGGGGTCCATATCATGTTCCTACACATGATAAACACAAGTACTTTATCACCATAGTGGATGATTATAGCAGGTCTACATGGACACATCTCTTATCCAGTAAAAGTAATGCCATTGATGTTCTTAAAAACTTCATGATTTTGGTGGAAAACTAGTTTGGTGTTAACATTAAGTCCATAAGGTCAGATAATGGACTGGAGTTTACCAGTAGAGAAACAACCATGTTATTCCAATCCAAAGGGATCATTCATCAAAGAACTTGCCCATACACACCACAACAGAATGGTGTGGTGGAAAGAAAACATAAATACCTCCTTGAAACAGCTGGAGCCCTTCTTTTTCAATCCAAGCTGCCTCTGAGATATTGGGGTGAATGTGTCCTTTGTGCTACATATATAATAAACAGATTGCCATCCAATTCTATCAACAATAAAACACCATATGAGTTACTGTATAAAAAGAGACCAAAGTACTCCCATCTCAAGAGCTTTGGTTGCTTATGCTATCCCACTGTGCCAATACCACATAGGGACAAGTTCAATCCCAGGACTACACCTCATGTTTTTGTTGGATATCCTTTCAACACAAAGGGGTACAAAGTTCTAAACCTAGCTACTAGAAAAATTCACATTTCCAGAGATGTGGTGTTTAATGAGTCTATTTTTCCTTTTAACTGTAGTATGAGCAAGTCTTCTAAGTCACCTGTCTTTTATCCAATTCCTTTAATTGATTCTCTTAATGAACAACCTCCTGAACACACAGATACCGTACAGACCCCTGAAGTCTTGAGTGATCAAAGAAATGTAGATAGTACACCTGTTTCCATGTCACCTATACATACAGCCAGTCGTTTATCTCCTGGAACCTTTAGTCCTTCACCACATAATACACCATCAGAACACAACATTGAACAAACCAATGAAGAACAAATCCATCCAACTAGACAGTCACACAGAGCTCACAAACTCCCCACATATTTACAAGATTATGTCCATTCCCTACCTCAGCTCAAGAATAATTCCACTTCCCTAAATGCTTTGTTTTCTGTAAACCATCACATTGCCTCTGATCTACTAACTCCTGATAGTCAGGCTCTTGTGAGAAATGTTTGTCATGACAGGGAACCATCATCATATGAGGAGGCAGCTATTGAGCCTGTATGGCAAGCTGCTATGACACAAGAATTTGATGCATTACATTCCAACCATACCTGGGATTTAGTGATGCTGCCACCTGGGGAGCAAGCAATTGGCTCTAGATGGGTATACAAGGTGAAACACAAAGCAGATAGTTGCACTGAGAGATTCAAAGCTAGATTGGTGTTAAAGGGTACACTCAACAGGCAGGAATAGATTATACAGAAACTTTCTCACCAGTTGTAAAAATGACAACAATCAGGGCTTTAATAGCTACAACAGTCAAGAAGGGATGGATCATTTCACAGCTGGATGTAAATAATGCCTTCTTGCATGGAGACCTCAATGAGGAGGTATATATGCAGGTGCCACCTGGGCTAGTAATAGAGAAGCCAGGCCTAGTCTGCAAACTGAATAAGTCTCTTTATGGTTTAAAGCAGGCAAGTAGACAATGGTATGCAAAGTTGACTGAGGCACTTTACTCAAGAGGATACACACACTCCATGTATGACTATTCAATTTTCTATAAGAGGAATGGAAGTGCTTCAGTGTATATTGTTGTATATGTGGATGATGTGTTATTAACTGGGACTGATCAACAAGAGATTGTTAAGCTCAAGAGTTTCCTGCATGAGCAGTTCAAGATTAAGGATCTGGGACAGCTTCACTATTTCCTGGGACTAGAGATTATGTATAAGGAAGATGGGATCATTATATCACAGAGGAAGTTTGTATTAGACCTACTAAAGGAGTATGATTGCCTGGAACACAAGGCCTGCTCTTCACCTTTGGATCCAAATGTAAAGCTAAAGGCGAAGGAGGGAACAATACTGCAGGATCCTACTTACTATAGGAAGCTAGTAGGGAAACTAAATTTCTTGACCAATACCAGGCTGGACATAGCATATGGTGTTCAACACTTAAGTCAATTTATGCAGGAGCCCAGGGAGCCCCATCTGAAGGCAGCATTTCATTTGTTAAAGTACCTAAAGAATGATCCTACCCTGGGAATTTTCATGTTAAAGGATGGAGACCACACAGTCAGAGCTTATTGTGATTCTGATTGGGCAGCTTGTCCAGACTCTAGGAGGTCCATCAGTGGTTATTTGGTTTTGCTGGGCAACAGCCCCATCAGCTGGAAGTCTAAGAAGCAAGAGACTATCTCACTATCTTCTGCAGAGGCAGTGTATCGAGTCTTGAGAAAAGTTGTAGGAGAGTTAGTATGGTTACGCAGGTTATTCGAAGAACTGACTGTTCCTTTCTCTTTACCCATTTCAGTCTACTGCGATAGCTAGTATGCATTACACATTGCCAGGAATCCAGTATTTTACGAGAGAACCAAACATATAGAAGTCGATTGTCAATTTGTGTGTGATCAACTACAAGCAGGCCTGATCTCTCTTCATTATATCAGAACTGATGACCAACTCGCAGATGTTCTAACTAAGGCCTTGACAGGGATTAAACACAGTGCTACATTGGGCAAGTTGTCAGTGTTTGCTACACCTCCAACTAGAGGGGGGGTGTTAAGAACTCTAATTATTTTACTTAGTTAGTTAGTTAGTTATGAGAGTTGTACCAATCAACTTGGTTGTTAGTGGTTCAACTTGGTAGTTAGTGTTATAATCTTAGCTTAGCATAGACAATTGCAATTGTATATAGTGGTGGTTCCACTTATTTTCTTTTCAGTCAATTCATTCCTAATGTTCTAGATTCTTCTCTCAATATGCTCTCTCTCTCCTCTTCTCCTTGAGTGCCTGTGACGCGAAGGTTGCAGCCTTATCACCATTAAAGCTCAGCTTCAAGCTACAGTAGAGCTTCAATTACTGTTCGATTGGCTAATTCTAATTACAGCAAATGAGAAGTCCTAGAAACAACAGATTACTTGCAGTCTTGCACGAGCAAATTGGAACTAGATAAAGTAAACAAATGCAGTCTACTGCTTTAACAGTTGCAATTATACCATTACAAATAGAGAAGCATTATCCACCACGCAATCTAATGAATCACAAATATGCTCTACAGCAAAAAGGGAAAATTTATCCACAAACAAACGCCATAACGATAAAATCATGAATATCTGCAGTATTTCAATTAAAATCTCAGTTCTCGATCCAATGATACTTCTAGAATTTTACACTAACAAGCAAATACACTTCAATGAAAACGTTATTTCAACACATCGAAAATCAAAATACACAGATTACCGAACAGAGCCACAAAATGAATTGATACAACAGGACTAGATCAGTTCAAGGCCAGCAACAGAAGCATGGTCCAAATTGAGAGTAAAACCATTACTTGAATCAGTAACTCCGTAACGCTGCAGAATTTGAGTTTCTTATTCTTCAATTTCTCCTTCAAAATCCTCATCTTCAATTCCTCCATCTCTTTTAAATTCTCCTCATTCTGAAATTATCAAAAATTATAAACTTAAAAAAAATTGCTATCTACGAAATCAAACGCATGGAAACGGAAGAAAGGGAAACAAAATGAAGACCTTGTTTTGGTCAATGATAGCAGAATTTAGAGTAGTGTTCTTCAGCGATGAGACTAGAATTGCAGCTTTGGCACATTGAATCGCGACTTTCGACTTGAGAGCTTCAGCTATTTCTCTTTCACTGGTGATGTCCTCCATTTTCTCTTTGTTTTCCCGCGCTCTACTGCTTTTCCGATGGGTATGATTTCAAATGGAAGAGACGGCAAAAGGGTTCTACACTTCTAGTTCGCGTGAACTTCACTACACTATTTAAAAGTATTTCTCCCTCGCAACAAAGTATATATTTGTGAAAATTGTAATTGCATTTTATTATGTCTCTAAATATGAATTTAAGTTATGTGTCACAGCTTGAATTTTGAAAGTTATTTTTTTTTATGGTAAATTCTGATATGAAGTTTTTATTTATACATTTAAAAATGATATAAAAGGTATTATTATAAGTCACAAAAATTAATTATTTTAAAATATTTAAAAGGCATATGAACATTGCCTTTAAAAAGTTAACACATATAAACATTGTTATTAAAGGGGAAAAAAAATTGACACTCAATTGGCAAACTATGGTTTGTAATGTTATATTTAGATAAAATAATAAACTTATAACACATCCTCAAAAAACATAGCCAGACAAAGCAAGTTCGTGGCAAATAACGTTTTTATCAGTAGCTCTGACGGAATGATTTTAGTCCTTAATTAGCTTTATTTTTTACAATTCAATTCATTAAACCGGTTTCGAATAACAATATCCCTATATAACAATACTTCACTATAAAAGCTAAGCTTTTCCGGAATCAATTTTCATGTTATGTTATAATATTGTTCTCTATAACAACACTTTGCTATAAAATCCAAAAATGTTCAAAACAAACGAGGTTATTAATTTATTATAGAGAGGTTTGACTGTACTGCAAAAGAAATAAAATGGCTAAGTTGTGCTCTAAATATTTTTTTTTTTTTAATAATTAGTTTTTTTCCCCTGCCAATTGACCGCGTGAGGAAGAAAGACTGGAGAAAACCGAGGTAGTATAAAGAGAAGGAGAAACATACAAATAGTCAATTTGGTCTAATATTGATAGTATTTGGCGGATGGAACTCCTCTCCATTTCCCGTCTCTCCATTTTCCCCAAGTTCTTAATTAGATAAGAGACATTTGTCCTATTTTAAAATCAATGGCTTAGATCTCTAATTTAGTAATTGAAAGTCTAACCACGGTTAGAATAAAAAATATCTTCATAACAAATTTATGAGCCTTTCCATAATTACTCATATTTTCTTATTTCTAAACTCTCATCTCGTCCCTCCATCTTGATTTTCCTCTTTTGTACATTTATGATTATTAATTGCAATGGAGTAATTTTCTTTTCTGCACTTAGTAATCAAACATATTCAAATTATTATCCCCGCTCCTAGCTTTATTTTTTATTTTTCTTAAAAAGTGCCATCTATGTTGGTACTGGCTTATAGATTTTTGATACTAAATAGTAAATGATTGACATCATATTGTATTTTTTCCTCTATTTTTCATGGATATTGATCAATATTGACGGTTAATAAGTGATGTTGATAACGCAAAAAAAAAAAAATGGAACCGGTACAAATTATGGAATTTGAAAATAACTTTTTTGTATTTGGTTCTTACCAACGCCAAACCCCCCTCCCCCCCTCATATTTTAAGTATTGAATCAATTATATTAATCGAAATTTTAGAAAATTCGATCCCGTGCATTATTAATAACTAAACTTTTCCTAAGACGTGAAATATATCGCCAAAAGAGGGGATAGAGCGGACCATATAGTCAACAGAAGGGTTCGAACTTTGAAAAATGAGAAACTCGGGAAGAGAGATGAAAAAAAAAATTAATTTTCTTATGGATATGAAAAAGTGTTGCTAAAATGATGGGATTAAGAAATTTTTAGAGAGCAATATATGGAATATTTCTTATTCTAACTACGATTAAGACCTTCATTTAATTAGTTAAATTTAAACCAATGATTTTAAAATGGGACATGTGTCTCTTATTCAGGTTACAACTTGGGAAAAATGGAGATAGAGAAAATTGAGTGGAGTTGCATCCGTAATTGGCTAATGTTTGTAGTAATTTATGAATTATCTAATATTAGTAGCAGCTTTGCTCTAAAAAGCCAAACTAGGTAGTTCTTCTATATTTGTTGATTAATCATTTGAAGGTGTAATATTGGATTAGCCACTTTTTACCCCATGTTATTAATGTTTGGTTACGATTTAAAGATGTATCACATGTTAGCCATTCCATTTAAATATGTATATTTTGAAGAAAAGTACCTCCATCACACTAAACAACTCCAGCATTTATTATTAGACTTTAAATATTCTACAAAACTTCAGCATAATACACCGGGGTCCGAAAACTCTCTACAAGTGAAATCCAAAATATACGGTGCTGGAATTCAAATATTTATAGGTTCAAACCCCAGAAATAGTACCTTATTATGAACTCCAGGACACAATTATGAATTTTTGACTTCTACAAGTTGAAACTCTAGGATATTATCCTTGAGTTCAAAAGAGGTACTATTGGTGAAATATTCCTTTTAGGTTCAAACCTCAGCAAACAATTACACGATTATGGGTTCAAACCTTTATAGATTCAAACTAGTAACGATTACTGAGGTTTGAATCCTTTCATAGTATGTTAGATACTACCTTATTTTGAACTCCAGGAATCGTTCTTGAATTTTACACTAGCAAATGCTAGGAATCTTTTTTGGTACTTGGAATTCCAATATTGATTGCTAGAGTTGTTTATAAAAATAGCCAGATTTACAACTGGTCGTTCGAAAATAGCCCAATTTCAAAAGTAATTGAAATTTAGCCACTTTTTATGTAAAGATAAATCTGAGCGAAAACACTGTTCAAAATCCGGAAAATACTTCAGTATATTATGCTGGAGTTCCAGCATAAGTATACTTGAACTGCAACATATTATACTGGAGTTTCAGGATAGTATGCTGGAACTCCAGCATAATATGATGGAGTTCCAGCATAAATACACTAGAACTCCAGCATAATATACTGGAGTTCCAGCAAGTATAATGGTCCAGTATAATTATAGTGGAGTTTGGAGCACCAGTGCTCCAGTCTCCAGTATATTATACTGGAGCCAGCAAAGTATACCGGTCCAGCATAATATGCTGGAGTTCATACACAAGTGAACTGAAACTCCAATATATTATGCTGGACCGGTCTCTATTGCAGCAAAACGGTAGCTATTTTTCATTGACTTGATAAACGTTGGCTATTTTTGATTGACCAGTCCGAAAACTGGCTATACCGTGCTATTTTTACGTCCGTTAGCCATGCATTTGAAAATGCAACTAAACTCTAATAACAGGGCCTAAAAGTGGCTACACCAACCAATTTCTTCCATTTGGACTCTACTATTTGAATGGATCAACCTTCAGTGAAGCCTACATTCCTTTTAACTGGGCCGAAATAAACACTAGACCCAAATCCAAACCCAAACCTGCGTCCAAACTAATTCAGATTGAGACCTCAAATTAATTCCCACACTCAGCCGCTTCCCTCCTCCCCATTCTCTTTCTGCACGCACCACACTCTGCTCTTTCTCTCTTTAATAAAGAAAATCAAATCAAAGCGTATGTTCTTCTTCCTCTCTGCATAATTATCCCAAGTCTGTCTCTAATTCGTGAATGTGCTCTAATTTTCGTTTTAGCAAATATCAATGTTATGAAAATTTAACTGATTAAGTACAAAAGTCTTTCTTGAGTCACGCTGTGGGTGCTCACAGCTACTAA